CCCACTCCCAGCGCTGCTGTGCCTGTATCCTGCACCCTGCCCTCATAGGCTGGCAAGTGGCAGAGCCGCTGCTCCCAGTGCTGATGCAGGCATGGCAGTGCTGGGAGCGGGGGCTATGCCCTGCTGCTGCCCAGAGCGAGCTGTGCCTGCATCGTGCCCCTTCCTCCCCCCTCATGCTGGCTGGGCAAGCAGCATCAGGGCAGAGCTGCCCCCACGGCTTCCCCTACCAGGGCAGAGGCAAGTACAGCCCCTGGAGAAGCCCCATCCCCTGCCTGGCCCCAGTCTGTGGCAGCTAAAAAAAACAAAACAAACATGCCCCCTACTCACCAGCTCTAAAAATTTCTACTCCATTCTGTAACCTTAAAAGATCACTTAAAAATGCCCTTAAAATTTATTTAAGTATTTTGAAAGATTGCTTTTAAAAAATTACAAAATGTATCATTCTGTAACCTAAACAAGGCGACAGAGTAGTTTTATTTTTATTTAAAAGCAAAAATATTGAATAAAACCTTTGCAACATGATACTAATGACCTAAAGGTTTTCATAGACTATAAACAGATGTTGTCTTTGTAGTGGGATCATCTTTGCCAGGATGCGTCTTAGCACAGGTGATCTGCATAACTGGCATGTACAACTATTACCTGGAGCTATTTTCCTACAGGGTCAGGTCCCTGCTGCTCCCAGGCTTCAGGGGGACTGATCTTGAGAGAACAGCCTTGGTATTGCATCCTGAGTTGAGTGAATTCCCAGTACTTATTTCATGCTGCCATACCCTGCATCTGCAAGGTGGGGTAACTTGCATGGGTTCCCCTGCTTGCAGACGGGCATCTCGGAAATTCCGTTGAAGGTTCAGGCCTTTCCTTGCCTGCAGTAGTGCACTCCAGGAATTCCTCTGCAGGTGCTGAGTGAGGAACTAGGCTTTCCTGCTGATGTTATGCTGCGTCATGAGTTGCCAGGTCTACAGCCACCCTGAGATTGAGCTGCTAACCAGTGTCAGGAGTGAATAGAGTCTAAGGACAAGCTGGGTCAGGAAGCCAGGGAGGTCAGTCTGAGGGTGGGGTCTAGGAAAACACAGGGAAGTCAGCAGAGTTGGAGAGGAAGCTGGATTGAGAAGCCAGGAATTCAAGAAGAGTGGAATCGCAGCACAAGCCAGAGGGAGCAGCAAAGCAGTGCAGAATCAGGTTGAGCCCCATTGCCTTTACATTTTTTTTTTTTTTGTTCTGGGCCAGGGGGTCAGCTGACCCTGGCTGGCCACTTCACAGGGCAACTGCAGACACAGTGGCCCTGGGTTGGGGCCAAGCACCTGGGGTTGTTGTCAGTCAGGTCTGAGCACCTGCCCAGGGCTGCTGGAGAATGCAGGCAGCCCTGGAATGCCTGCAGTCTCGCACTATATGCAATCAGACATCTACTGTGAAAGGGTGGCATAAAGTATTACTAAAATTATTAATATATATTATCCATATTATTCTTACTACAGTTTTCATAACATGACGGAGGGGGGGCGTGGGTGTTTGTTTGCTTGGGTTTTGTTCTTCCATTATAAGTATCATAACAGTTGGCAAAGGAGAACATCTTTTCAGCCTTCATGTATAAACTCATTGGGAAAAGACTTCATTTTAGGGGTATTTTTTGTAGAATGTTTGGACAATACACTCACTTAGCTTGCTACATACTGTGGTCAGAGGGTAGAATAAAATGCTTCTCATAGCCTGTTATTTTTTGTCCTAATCCCCTAAACTGTTCCTAGTTTAGGGAATTTTATGAGGAAAGTCCCATTTTAAAATAATTGGTACAGCACTGGTATACAGAACACAGATTTTGGTTTTTTTTTTACTCGAGCCTTGTGTTCCAATTAGCTTAAGAGACATGCTAAAATTAAAACAATCTATTCAAGTGCATGCAAGATCTCCAGTTTGTTTCCTCACTATGTCAGCAGTGTTCAGCACTTTCATCATAGTCATAGAGCAATATGAAGGGACCGTGAGAGGTCACCTGAGGCAGGATCGTCCCTATCCAAACCATCCTATACGAATATATTGTTTAGCCCCTTTGCAAAACTACAGTCAACACTGACACAACACAAGACATAACACTTTAATCTGCCACCAGTAAAGCAGGGAGCTATATAAACCCCTTTAGTACTTCCTTCAGACACTTCGCCTTTTAGATATTCAAATATGGTTGATTTTAAACCTTTGGTGGAATTTTTTTAAATATACAAAAATGGTCTCATATAAGTTTAATGCTTCTTACAATTTTTGATGATTGGTTTATAACAGTGATTCACAATCAGGGTGCCACAGCACCTTGGGGTGCCTTGAGTTCCTTCCAAAGTGGCTCTAGGGGGCAACACAGTGTTTGCCCCCAAATATTATGCCCCCTGTTATGCATGCAAATATAGTTCACAAGATGAACCTAGATATTTGAAATTCCTATTCATATTGCTATAAATTCCTATTCAGTGTTAAAAATATTTGAACCTGTATGGTCTGTCTTGAGTTCCTTGTAAAAGAGAAACTGCTGTATTATGTTTCTGTAGTAAAAAGAGTGAAAATTAAGGACTTGTATTTTCCATGGGGTCCTTCAAGTGTAACGAGGAGTGCATTGTGTCTATAAAAGTTGAAAACCATTGGCTTATTCGTTCACATAGAAATTACTGTGAAGAATTTGTCCATCCCACATCTAATGGCTTAATTTGCTTTATGAAATTTTAAAACCAGAAATCTAACCTTTTCTATTTTTTCCTAAAATTATAACTCTAGATATAAGTGACATTTCTAGCTAGTTATTGACCAACCTGACCATGGTGTTCCAGCTAACAGCCAGTGGAACATTATATTATTACATGCAACTATTCTAACTACATGGACAAGTCTTTAAAATCATTCAAACTGGTTTTTGCCTTTAGATAAAATATATAGTATAAATGACTTTGAGTTGGATTTGTGTTTCTGAATTACTAGAGTACTTCTGATAATCCTACCTTTGTGTTTTTCCATTTCCCCCCTACCTATTACACAAGTTAATGAGAGCATTTGCTTTAACTTTGAATTACTTGGCTTTTGACAGTGTTAACTCCATCTTTTAATGTTTAGTACAGTTGTTGCTGCACTTATGTTTTTTATCTGTCTGTTGATTTGATTACCATCATGCATAGCAAATGTCTGTAAAAGCAAAAGGCCTCATAAAGATACCAGTTTACAAAAGCTGCTACTCACTCACGTTGGGCGTAGAAAGAAGCGCATTGTATATCCATATTGTGCTAACATTTTGGTATTTTGAAATGTTGCTTAGCTAATTTCCACATTTCATTCTTAGGTTTATTATTTCCGACAAGGTCATGAAGCATACGTTGTAATGGCCAAAAAGAACAAAATATACAGTATTAATCCCAAAAAACAGCCGTGGCATAAAATGGAACTCCGGGTATGGTATTTCTCACTTCTTCCCTCTTGGATGCTGTCACTTAAATAAGTAATATAGAAGAAATTTTATAAAGGTGGTAGTTTGCATAACTTGTCCATACTTGTGGTGTGAAAAGCTACTTGGTGTATGTGTATTTAACTCTGGCTTTGAAAGTTTAACTAAGAAAAAATATATAATATTTAAATCTTCTGCATCAATCAAGTAAATGTTTAAATGTCAGGAATGTGATGCCTTAAGAATGGGACAAAAAATCATAACCCTATTCAAAGCCATATATTTCTTTTGATCTGTTTTGATTTTCTTACCAATCAGTATGATTTATTTTCACCCTTGCTAGAAAATGTATCACAACTAACAGTTAAGTTTGTAAGGAGGCCACATTTGGAAATCATAACTTCTTATTTCAAGAAATATATTTGAAAATATGTCTGATCAATTTAGCAAAAATTGCAGATGAAATCTGTTGTACCACAAAAATGTATCAACTTTTTTTCCATTTCTTATTCTGATTAAAGTCCTCTAAAAATAAGTTATCTTAAGTAAACATGTTTTATTTCTTCAGGAGCAAGAACTGATGAAGATAGTTGGAATTAAATATGAAGTGGGTTTGCCTACTCTCTGCTGCCTTAAACTTGCTTTTCTTGATCCAGATACTGGAAAACTGACTGGAGGATCATTCACAATGAAGTAAGGGAAGCATTATTTTTGTTCAAATAGAGAAACTATTTTTAATGTGTAATTTCTTTAAAATCTGCTGAAGAACATATGTATTCTTGTAAGCAACTTATCTAAAATACTAAATGTTTGCTTTCAAATGCATTTTGACATTAAATGGTTTTTCATACTGTCTTGCTGGTTAAACTTCTCTACTATTTTGGTTTTATCTAGGTATCATGATATGCCAGATGTTATAGATTTCCTTGTCTTACGGCAACAGTTTGATGATGCAAAACATAGACGATGGAATATAGGTAGGTGATAGTTAGATTGTTTAATAATATTATCTGGTTCCATGGTGTCTAATTTTATTAGGAAACATAGTACCATAGATGAATGTTCGATATTGTATTGAAATTTTAAAATGTCTGTCTAGTCCCTTTCTGGCAGCTCCTGTGGAGGGCTCCATGCCATCCCTACTCTGTGCAGAGGACTGCTTTCTCTTCCAACACTGCAGCCTCTATTCATCAAATTAGATGCTCTAAATTGTCCTCTGCCACCTTTTTCAGAGGAGGCTGTGTTGGGCAGGGTGGTTGCTTGGGGGAAGAAGAAGCCCTTCTGTGCTGATCAGGCAGAGGTGGGCCTCCCAAATAGCTGGCCAAGTCACAAGGTTGCCTTACTATTAGTACTGCCCACCCCTGTTCTAGAGTAGAAGAACTCTTATTGCCTTGAGGATGCATCTGGCCTGCAGGCTATATTTTGCCTGCCCCTGTTCTAAAGCTTCCAGAGGCCAGAAGGAGGGCAAGGGCAATGAGGGCCACTCCTGTTTGCTAGCTCCATGAATTTTGAACTTGCTGTTCATGCTGCCCAGCACTGAGCACTCTTACATGCTCCGGAAGACTATTCAGTAAATATTCTTCCTAATAAATGTCCATTCCTACTTTAAAAGCGTCAGTCTGAATACACTTTAGATTTCCACATTGAAACAGCATCTCCAAAGAATGAGTGTACTATGAAAACTAGGATGAAATGGAATAAAAATTCCTAGAAGAACTGGACTATGACAGTAGCTATTTGTAGTGATGGAACTATTTTGTATTCTTGTCTAGGTGATCGCTTCAGATCCATAATTGATGATGCTTGGTGGTTTGGAACAATTGAAAGCCAGGAACCTCTTCAGCCCGATTACCCCGATAGTTTGTTTCAGTGTTATAACGTCTGGTTAGCATATTTTTCTTACTTCAGCTTTTAATACATTTTCTATTAAAAAATGAGATCTTGTATGCCAATCCTGATTAAAAGTGATTTTAGTTATTAGAATGTATTTGCATGTGTATTTCTTAATATTGTTTTATAAAGTAAACCAATTAGTTGTAGTTGTAACTATATAACTTACCATTTATAAATTGTTTATAGGTGTCTTAGGACTATTAAAATTAATTTGAACTGGTTATTTTTTTCTTTAAGCTGGGACAATGGTGACACTGAGAAGATGAGTCCTTGGGATATGGAGCTTATACCGAATAATGGTGTGTGCATCTGTAGATTTCTTAATTTACTTTAAAGTACAGAAAGAGGGAACATGCCTTTTTGGAAATGGTTTTTGATCAATTTGCTTAAGTTCTGTAAAGAGCTAAGAATAAATAAGTATTGCAAAACAGTCTCAGTAAAAATTCACGATTAAATTTAAATGAGGTATTAAACTACAAATACACTTTTTTAAATAGACTTGAGACTAGATTAACAGGGAATATAATCTTACTCAGTCTAACAGATCAAAATCTTGAAGCAATTCTCAGCAGCTCTTGGCCTTTCACTTTTTCCAAAGGTTGCTGAGGATGAACATGTTTTCTCATGGGTTCTCTGGAAACTGAGTCCCTGAAGACTTACTGCTGTCATTACCAACACACTTCCTACTTTTATAGGCACAAATGTTTAGGGTTAATTGGCAATGGTTGGGCTTGCTCCATTATTCTTAAGAATATTGAGAAGTCAGCCTACCAGTGGTATTTCTTCTGTCCATATTTGTGTGTGCTTTCTTTTTTAATTTGATAAAAAATGAGATTGATTTTATATATATATCTGAGTTAGCCTTCCTTAAACTTGTTTTCTTTTCTACCTACACTTAATAGGTATGATGCTGTTGTATGTATTATATTAAAATAAATTACTATTTTAATATTTTCATCTAATCGTTCAGTTTTAAAAATTGAAATACTTTCTGCAGGCCCTTGATACTTCTTAAAATAATTAAAAATATGGCAACACAAAAATTTAAAATTGGCAGAATATTTAATGATCAAAATGAAAAGACCACCAAATAAGTGTCAGACCTAAATTCACCAAGAACACTTTATTGTATCCCTGATACTCGTCCTTTTTGTACCTTCCCTCCCTGTAACTTTTGTCAGAGAGACTTTTCAGCATACCGTGAAAAGCAACAGATTCTAGCTACGTTGGGAATTTATTCCAAAACTGAGAAGCCCTTCAAGAGGATGTTTTGGTGGCTGCTCATCTCAAACACTTTCACTTTGTGTAACTGCAGCAATATAGAAGAATGCAGAAGGCAGTCTTAAAAACAGGAGTTTCAGGAGACTTCTTTAGGGCAAAACTAACGCCTTCTGTTCTTTCTGGAAGTTTGTAACTATGGAACTACCTTTGTTTCTTTGCAAAAACAAATTCTCCAACAAACTGCTTGGAAATGTATAAAGCTGCACTCTGGGATTTTAAATTAACAGACAATAATATACAGAAAAGAATATACCCTATTTAACAAATCCAAGAAAACTCTGAATGTTGCATATATAGAATCTTATTACTGGAGGAGGTCTTAAATTCTTGCTCCCCTCTGCTGCAGCAAGGGAACAGGCAAAGACTCCTGGTCCTCTGCCTCTCTCCCCCTCCCATACCACTTGTCTCTCCCATATCACTTGCTAGCTGATAGCTGCCACCCTGCTGCCTGTCCCCTCTGCCACTTGTTCCTCCCCCTCCAATTCCTACTACCCCATATGTTCCCTAGTGCCTGTATTGCCTGCTGCTGCTTGCCTTATTCGGTGGCTCTGGCCCTGGCCAGGCAGCAGCATTGGCAGCAGCCCTGATCCCAGTCCGGGTCAAGGCTAGAGCTGCAGCAGCTCTCCTGCTGTTGTGTGGTCTCTCTTCTGTGCCCCACTCCCCCATGTACCACACACTCTCCCCCCAGCTCTAGGAAAAAAAGACAAAGTTTTTTCCCCCAGGTTGAATGTGGGGGACGCACCTCATTTTGGATTTGAATAAATATGGAAAACAGTATCAGAACTGCAATGAATGTTTTGGTTGCTTTAGAATAAACTAAGAACTAATTATTTCAGTTTGTTTATTGGAACAGTGTTATCCTATGCATTCAGTATTATTATTTACTTCTGGATTAATAGCTGTATGTAATATTTACAATATAAGAAGTTAAGTGTTTTCAACAGTCTGTTTTGTGAGGTGCATTTATTATTCTGTTTTAGCTGTGTTTCCTGAAGAACTGGGTACTAGTGTTCCTTTAACTGAAGGTGAACGCAGAGCATTAATCTACAAACCTCTGGATGGAGAATGGGGTTCCAGGACCAGAGATGAAGAATGTGAGAGAATTATTTCGGGGATAAACCAGCTCATGACTCTAGGTAAGCATTTGTTACTTAATTTATAGAAGTGATATATAATAGGGGATATAATGCTGTGCACTTTTTTTAGGACACAGTGCACAAAATCATGAAATGTCATTGATCAAATGTAGTAGTCATACACTAGCTTTTTATTACTTGATAAAGAAGAAGATGGTTTGTTTTAAAGCATGATATATGTGCATAGTAAATCCCATTAAGATAGTCTGGCCCATATCTTCAAATCTGAACTGATATATTTTTACTTTTTAAAGTTTTTTTTATGTGTAACTTGAGTCTTGGAAGAGACTTAATTTTTAGAAAGTATTAAACACTGAGTTCCTTTTTATAATATCTCCAGTATCTTTTGTAAAGGTTGAGAATACAGGCCTCTACACCAAAAACTAAACTAAAAAAAGTTAAACTGTACTACAAACAAATATAAAAAGGTGCGTTTGTTTTTTCTGCAGAATGTTGTAGTGGATACATTTTACATAGGTTTTCTTCCCTGACTAAGCTGCTGTGTGCTGCAGTCTCAGGAAAAAAAGATATCTTCAAGAGGGGGAGAGATCTCTCTCAAAGAAATGCGGAGAATATGTGGGCAGAGTAATACTTTGATTAAATTCGTAGTGAACTGTTTGATAATCAGTTACAGAAAATATTGCTGTTGTGTTGGCACCTTCTGAAAATGCATTACTATAAGCTGTTGTAATATAATTGTTAATTCTTTTATAACTAATCAAAGACTGAGATATATCATGTATCAGTGCAGAAAAAGTAAGAAAATGCCAAATTTTGATATACCTTTATACAGCACGTTTCCTTTGGTGACACATTGCATCTCTATAAGAAGCTTCTTTCTGCTTCCAATAAATAAGAAAATGCACTACACAAATATTAATTATAACCTCAAGGACATTACCAAGCATATGTTTGGCACTGCTGCATGTAGTGTGCTGTGTGTTTCTAGTGGAAATACGTTTTTAATTAAGTTTTTCACTACTGTATATCTGTAACCAGTGCTTTAAATGATCCCACTAAACCTGTCTATAATAATGCCCCATTTGATAATACTAAGGACTAGCCGGTTTGGGGTAGAACCACACTTTTGTTGGGATGGTTTACAAGCTGCTGAATTTTCAGGAAGTTGCCAAACTTAGTATGAGCTACTTAGCCAGTTGCTACAGCTTTCACTCCACTCATCTGGAACACTCCCAGCTGGTTGGAGAACCGGTGCCTCTAGTAATAAAAGCTACAGAAAATAGCTGGAGCACTTCAGGCAGTTTTATGTGGTTGTTTGCTGTGGCCCTTGATACTTTCCAAGCCCTCATGTTTACAGGGAGCTAAAGAAATAACCCTATGAAGAACCCAGGTTCTGCTTTATCCTGTTGTCTTAAAAGCTGAGGTTCCTTACAACCTAATTATTGTAACAATCTAAAGAATTGCTTTTCACAAATCATGAGGCCGAAAGAGTTGTAATATTAAGATGTCACTACTTTAGGAAAGCATAGTTTAATTCAGATGTACCAGTTAATATTCTAGAATTACATATTTTGAATTATATAAATTAGGTATTTGTATTTATAGTTGGAAATAATTTCATTTTTGAATACGTAAGGCTGAGTGTCATGTTTCATGCACAGCAGGATCACTGATTAATTACTGTAGTAATTATGCTAATGGCATATGCTACATCGTGCACTTCTGTATATGAAATGCTACTAAGCTTTTTAATATATAATATGTGTCGATTTTTATATTTGCTCTGTGCTTTGTATAAAGCTTTAAAGAGTATTGTGTATGTGGGGAAAATGTAGAAGTTATAAGGGATTACTAAAGGGCTACTTCTGCATAATATGAATTTGATTTTTTCATTTCTGTTTAGATATTGCTTCTCCATTTGTGGCACCTGTGGACCTCCAAGCTTACCCTATGTATTGCACTGTTGTGGCATATCCCACAGATCTCAGTACAATTAAACAAAGACTGGAAAGCAGATTTTACAGGTTAGAACAACATTTCGTGTGTTTTTATTAAGTATTGCCAAATCAGTTTGGCCTTTGATAGGCTGTCTGAACAAGAGTTTGAAATAGTGGGTTAGTTTCCAGTGATTTACTCACTTGGTCTTGGTCTTGTTCAGATGTTAAATTCAGAATGTTATGTTATTCAGCTCTCTGATCCCAAAATTGGCTTCATGGGGTTGTGGACTAAAATTTCAGAATCAAGGTTTGGGTCTGTATAGGGATTATGTTCTTAAAGGTCACAAACAAGTGATTCATTTTTACTAGTACAGATTTCAGAGAAATTGTTGCTGGTAGAAAAACAGCCAAGGAGCAGGAGTATACATGTATTACTGGCCCCTGGCTGGATACCTATCCCGCTAAAAGGCATGTGAGAGGGCTGCTCCCTGGGCTCACCCCCACCATTAAGGAAGGCTAGTACTTGATAGCCTACCCTTTCCCCTGCCTGGGAAGGGGGCATACTGTCATGAGGCAGCCCCTTGGCTTTTAAATCAGCTGTGTGCTGCCCAGCTGGGCAGCCCATGCACAGGGACCTACTTAATTTGCAGTCTTGCAGGTTTTGTGGAAACCATGAAATCCAGGATTGTCCATGAAATCTGCTAAATCAACCAATAAAAAATAAAATAAAATGCTGGCACCTCAGTGGGAACCAGCAGTCCTCACTGCTGGGAGGGGAAGGAACTGGCTGAGGGGTGCAGCATGAAGGGCAACAGGCAAGGTGGCGGCTGCCCCCTTGGTCTCCCGTGTCCTCTCCCCC